TTTTATCGAAAACTCAAGTTTATGAGTGGTACAAAGCCTTTCAGGACGGTCGTACGACCGTCGAAGACATTTCGCAACGCACTACTGAGGGGAACTGGTTTCAACAGCTGCCGTAAACGAACTGTCTGACAGATCGCGCTCATTTTTGGCATAGTAATTAAGGACAGTGCTGCCAAACTACATAAACTTAAAATATCGAAAAATATACAGCGCGCGAATTTTAAATGAGAATTTCCGAAAACTTTTCGGTCTTAATGTATGACAAAAAACCTATTATATAAAATTTAAAGGATTTCGAATAGCAAAGAAACAAAAGACAAACAAATTATATACGGATTATAAACTAATTAAGCAATTCGAATATTTCCTAAAACCACTGATGATGAGTACTTTGAAATACTCGAAACAGCGTTGCATGGTCAACCAAATTTCAATAAATTAACTAAATCATAGTGTTCGTCCTTTCTTTCTTTGCTATTCATAAGCATCTAAATTTGAAATAAATGCTAAATGCTAAATAATTAAATGCAATAATTGGATATACTTACTTTACTATCTTACAATGTAGTCTGATACACACTTGTGAGACTTAAAATATTTTCGCTTCACTTGAATAAAGGCCGCTATAATTTCATTTCAACTAGATAATTTTATTTTTCTCTGAAAACATGTTATTGATAATAAATTTATATAAATTCCATTTTATTTATAGAGATTTTGGTGATAGGTCTATCTTTTTGCCAACTCATGGTTTCGTCTTATATCAATCTGCTCCAAAACCCATTTGACGCAGATATCAAACTTAAATTTTTCCTATTGTAGTTGATGTCCTGTTAATGTGTTTTATTTTTTTGGAGTCCAAAACTTCATTTGCTAACTGCATGACTGTCAATGACAAAATCCACATGCGTATCTTCTTGATTTCGAACTTTTGAATTTTAGCTCGTTTGGAATAATAAGGTTTTCTAATTAGAAGAAATTACCAATATAAAACTGTTTGAAATGAGATTTGATTCCTGATTCTTTCTAAGCTTTTACGATATTTCCACTCTTACTTGACGAAATGTTAGTTCATCAGTAGCTTATTTAGATGGAATGGTTTTGCAGACAGATCCCTTCTTGACAATATAATACATAATATAGAAATTTAGTGAACAAAATTCGATATTTTCTGAAACAGAGATATTGACATGAAATGTTCCTAAAAGTTTATTTTTGAGATGGCCTTTATTCTGAATCTAATTTGAGCTCAATTGAACTATCGGAACCCGTCCAAATTTTTGGTGAAAAATGGACCATTTTCAGATAGAAATAGATAGAAAGTTGAATTTTGATGCCTGAAAAATCTACGTGATAATACATATACAAGTTTTTCATGGTATTCCGCCCACTGTAACACCCACCCACATATAAAATATTCATAAAAAAACGTTCATTATCGTTAAAAAAAATTTTTTTTACTCTTATTTGACTATATACATTTATTAAGTACATAACAACACAACTTTATGCAAAAATTGGGCGTGATTCGTCCATTAGTTCTTAAGTTATTTGCGGTTTTATAAAATTTTAACGAAATTGGTATTTCGCAAAATTTAAACCCTTATAACTGACTTACTCTTTATTCCAAAATGATCATTTTTACATGGTGTATAAAAAAGGTTTGAATTTTATTTATCAATAAAATTTAATTAGTGAAATTGCATAAGCAAAAAACAGCAAAAAAGTAGCAAATTTTTTTATAATACATAAATTTTTAGATTTTCCATATTGCGAGTTATATTTTTAGGTCAGATAAGGTTATACCGGCGGTCCCAGGGGGATCCACTTAGGCCCATAGGCCCATTGTGCCACTGCATTATTAAAAACCCAAAGGCTAAAACCATCTAGAACCTTCGCCAAGATCCTTAAAAAAGAAAGCCCCTAAAGGGTTAAGTTGGCGTCGCGCATGTGCCGGACTGAAGTAAAAGAGGTGGGAGGCATTTTCATCATCCTTACCACAACTGCGGCAGATATGGTTGAAATGGAGATTTAGTCTCCCAGTTTGGTTTCCTAGAATACAATGACCTGTTAGTAAGCCTACTGCAAGACTGATATCTCTACGGTCCATCTCGAGTTCGATTTTCTTCTATTGGCATTTGACCAAATTGCATACAGATGCCTGCATATCGTAGAGTCTTCCCACCTTTTATTAAAAAGTTCAGCACAGGTGGAATTTAATACCAATTCGCAAGATGTCAACGATATGCCCACATTGTTTAGGTGTTCCGAGTTGTTTCCTGAAGCACCCCGTCTGGCTAGCTCATCTGCTTTGCAGTTTTCGAAAATATCCCTATAACCAGGAACCGAGATTAGAGATATATTGAACTGCGTTGATATCTCATTTAGAGATGTTTAGCAGTCAAGGACTGTCCTAGATGTAAATTGGACTGAACTCAAGGACTTTAAGGCAATTTCACTATTCGACAGTCTATACATATTCCTTTCAAGTATATTATCTACTTCTAGACAAGCTAAAGCTTTATGGCACTCACCTTTGCCTAAAAAACACTGTAGTGATCTGGAAGCCTTAAGTTATATTTTTAAAAAAATTAAAAGAAAATTATGATTAAAGTAGTAAATATTACTTTGTATGAAAAAATAAATGTGTGCTTGTTGAAATCTAACCTAAACAAAATTTATTTTTCTTTAAAATTTATTTAAAATTTATTTTTGTTTTTCTTTTAAATTTTTATTTCTTTAAATTTTTTATTTCTTTTAAAACTAATCGAATTGTTTATTGTGTAATTTATTTATATGCAAAAAGTATATATTAAGCATTTTTAACTTTATACATTTTTTCTAATATATTTGTTTAATATTTTGATATATTTAAAATATCTTAATCAACCAACTAACGATAATGCCGATGCGTGTCAAAAAACTAACATCTAAAACCACCAAATTTGATGCCTAAAACTAACAACGCCACATCGCTTTTATCACATGACCAACCCATGCATTCCAACTATTGGCGCTGTTGTTGATGCTCGCACCAATATCGATCCCACTACGATTATTGCTTTTGTTAATGTTAATGCTGTTGTTATCATTAACGCTGATATTCCTGTTGTTGCTGCTAATGCCAATCCTGCCGCTGTTGCTGTTGCCGTTGCAACCACTCGAAAAATGCACATCTCTGCAATGAATATTTTATGAACGCATAATTTATGGTAATGAATATCGTCGTCATCCTGCGTTTCCTGTTACGGAAACACTTGTCGCCATTTTGAACTTTCTACCGTCTTTCATTGAACGCACAACACACTTTCATGACAACAAAACCAAATATAACGGATATGCATCATTTGCGGATCTTCCGTCATTTGTACTGTCAACACTTGCCATGGCGATTTCTGTTGCTGTTGCTGATGATGGTGTCGATGCTGTCGATGCTGTTGCCTGTGTCTGTGTCTGTATTTGTATTGGTGTCGGTGTTGGTGTCGGTGGCAATTCTACAATTGTAACAACAATAATATCAACATTCTCGTGAACAACATTATTATTTCCATACATTTCTGAAAACATTAAACCACGAAAATTATAAATAACATTGCGAATGGAATAACAATAGAGATGCAACTTGTTGAGATTTCGAGTCGCGTTCAAATTCTGGAATCTGGTGATTTATTAATTTCGAATATACGCGAATCGGATGCTGGTCTATATACTTGTGTGCGGTCCAATGAAGCCGGCACTGTTAATGGTGAAGCATATCTTGGAGTTATGGGTGAGTAGCTTGATGGCTGGCACGCGCGCCCTGCATTGCCCTTTCCACTGCAAATCCTAACAGCAGATGAACTGCACTGCACTGCACTGCACGCAAATGATTGTTTTAGTTTCTCTTGTTAGTATAAATATTTTATTTAGCATTTAATTTTTTTTGCTGCTTTGAGGGCTTGTTTTTTAAATGTTTCATAAATATTTTATTAATAATTTGAAATGCTACTAAAAAATAATTTATTGTTAGTAGTTTCGAAACGAAGTTCTGCTTGATTGAGCGTATTTGTTATTTTTCAATTAATTTACAATTCATTTTATATTCAGATTTCAATCGAAAAACTAAAACATCTGTTAAGATAAAAATATTTGACAGTTTTGTATGTTTAGATTGATTTTAAATTCTGCTTTTACGGGTTCAATTTGCTAGATTTATTTCAATAAAAAGAATTAATGAAAAACACAGTTTATTTAATTAAAACTTCAATTTTAAAATTGTTATACATATGTAAAAGTTTGGTGTCTTTTTTTAAAATGAAACTTTTCTACCGCATCATAAAATACATATATCAAAAACATTGTACTCTATTTTATTGACTGTTAAGCTTTTATTAGTTATAGTTTTTTTACTGCATTTACTAAAAGATACATTCAACTTCTCACAATTACAATTGCCTTCTTTAATGATATCATTTGACAAAATGCTCTTTATATTGTTTATGTTTTTTATTTACTAGAACATTGATTTGACTTCAATATAATCATAACTACCATATAAGTATGGATTCAATAAGTTATAAAATACATTTAAATACTTATAGTGCGCATATTACATGATTAAAAATTACAAAGTCTTTAGGTTGGATTGGAGTGGCAGAATTGTGCACCAAAGCTGACTTGAGTACAAGTAATGGCTTTTTATGATACCACGGATGAGCCACTGTCCGTCATGTAGAACTAAAGACCACCTTAAAGGTAGTGAGTTAAAAAAGTAGATTCCAAAAATTTTTAATCTTCTTATAGCTAATAATTGGCACTAATATATGAGGTAGAATATAGTTACATTTCCATCCGTAGAGCCATGATAACGGCAGAACACATTATAAGGTACGCCAACTCTTTTTGCCTGTCTCTTCTCATATGCAGTAGCCTGTCAGCACAGCAAACATAGTCCTGAATTTGTTATGCTTTAGTTAAAGCAGCTGAGTTGTGCGAATTTGTTTAAATCTGGCAGGAATATTGTTGTTGTAGTTGTAACCCGTGGGAAATGTTGAACGGCACTTAGTAGTCTGGATCGACGAGTGACTCTGGGATGTAGACCCAGCCATTTTTGGAACACTCTTTAGTATGCAATACTATTCATCTACCTCGGCTTTCATTGCTAACTCGAGGTATTGACGTTTAATTGCCAGTTCAGGTGTATGCAAATTTTTTGAATTAGTGAAAACAAAGTATATTTAACTTGGTATTTAATATTTTAAAAAAATTTACTTAATAAAGACACATAATTCTCCTGTATTCAAAGTCCATTTACTTTTTCACTTATTAAACAAAGTTCTCTTCTTAATGAAATGACATTAATATTTAAAAATTGTGAATGCAAATTATGGAAAATATTCTAGAAGAAATCCATTTTATTAATCCCGTAATAAAAGGAACTTATAAAATAATTTCAATCAGGATATTACAAATATAAATATGTTTTCATAAGCTGTAAATAAATTTCCATTACGAAAAAATCCTTTCTTTTCAATATACTTGGCAAAAGGAAATTCTGTGTTTAAGTGCAGACGCTCAAAGTGATGCGATTTAATAGACTTATAGACTTGCTTATATTTATTTCGAAAAAAGGAAATAATTTAATAAAAATATGCCATTTATTCGCATATTTCTATTCAAAGCAAATCCACCGCACAAATCTGCATTTTAAGCCTATTTGCTTGCTGATGGATATTCAATAGTTTGCACGTAACTCGCAGCTTTCATATGCAGGCTGATGTAGTGCAAAGAGAAAAAAATATTATCGGTGGAAAATGAACATTTAATTTCCTTACTTTTTCATGCAGTGACTAATAAATTTTTTTCTTTTTGTGTTCTATGTGTTTTTTTTTGTTTTTTTGTATATTAGTGAGGACACAAATCATACAACCACCGGTGGATACAACAGTGCTGCTGGGACTTACTGCTACACTGCAATGCAAAGTCTCCAGCGATCCAACAGTGCCATTCAATATCGATTGGTATCGCGAAGGTCATCCAATGCCAATCAGTAATTCACAGCGCATTGGCGTACAAGCGGACGGCACTCTGGAGATACAAGCAGTACGCGCCTCCGACGTTGGCACTTATTCATGTGTGGTTACATCGCCAGGTGGCAATGAAACGCGGTCAGCGCGATTAAGTGTCATCGAACTGCCGTTTCCACCAACAAATGTTAAAGTTGCGCGCTTAGATGCACCAAACCAACGTACCATCAACATATCATGGACACCGGGTTTTGATGGCAACAGTCCAATATTAAAATTCATCATACAACGCCGTGAAGTATCAGAACTAGGTAAGTGATTTGGAAAAAAAAAAATCTATAAAGTAAAATTTTATGTAAATAAATGTTCATATTTTTTTCTTACTTTATTTATTTTTATGCAGTTTTTTTTTGTTTTTTTTGGTGGTTTCTGAAAGTGTTAACTACAAAAATGTATTAATTGTGTGAACAGACAGCGGAATGATAAAATGGTAAAGTTGAGTACTCTTTTATCGTGTTGGTGGATAAAAAGAAAATGGAAATAATTTTCGAAAAAAAAGAATAAGTTTTTGATTAAGGTCAAATGAAAGTGCAAATTTATGTCCGCCAAAATGGCGAGACTAAACCGAAAGAGGGAACCCGTCAAAAAATGAGGTTATATAAATTTTCTAACTATTTGACTTACTGGCCTAATGTGTTTACTTTTATTTAGTTCAAATTTGTATCTTTGTGACACATCTAATGTTCACATCTAATTGAAATCTATTATAACAAGTACCTGAAAATTCCATTTTCTTATCAATTATGTGATCTAACAATAATATTTGTTAAATAATAAAGAAAGAAAAAATTGAATTGAATTTATAAAAACAGATTTAGAATTCTCATTTCTTATTGTAATTTACAAAATGCTTTGAGTATTTATTATTTTATAAACTGGTTACTCCAAATTTACAAGACAAGTATTAAAAAAAAAATTAAATTAGATTTAGATTTTTTATTTATCATTGTTTCCTTAAGACAATATCAGTTCTTAGGAACCTGTCCTGTTGTAGATCTTGTAAATCGTGTTAATCGGCGCTTGAGTAGTAGACACCAAAACACATGTCTTGTTATTGTACAGGTTGTAACGACACGAATACGTCGTTTAATTTTACTGAGGTGTCACTCAGTCGAGGTCCGGGTCGTTGCAATAAATTTGTTTATTGATTAGTTCGAGAGCTAGTTAATAGGCTAAGAAGAAAGAAAAACTGTTGTTTATTTTCGTTCTTTATTATAAAACTTCCAATACAAGGTTATAAAAGAATTCTAGTCTATCGTGTTATAATTCTAAGAGGTTACAATAGGCTATAGCCTAAACCATCAAAATGCCTACAGCGTTATAAAAACATTGGTTAAAATACAAAGATTTTAACCAATGGCATCAAAATGCCGGTAGCATTATAAACTACTAGTCTACAATTGATCTAGCCTATAGTCAGCAAAATCAAAATACTATTCACATGGAAATTGCCTGGCGACCTAGCGATGATGTAGATGTCTACTATATTCGGTGTGCTGGCGCTAAGTGATCTTTCATATAAATTTGGCGTCTATTTATATGAAAAATCACCCTTATTTCGTTCGTTGCATGCACATCCGCACAACTGTAATTCTTCGTACGTCCAAAGGTTGATGCATTTATTGCTTTAATTCTTACATAGGTTTGCGATGTAATGGCTCTGCCGCGAGTATCAACCTTTTTTTGAAGCTCGTCTTTCTTGTGCTAGGTGTGCATGCAGGTATTTGCTGTTGCGTTCAAAAATTGGTTCATTCAATTCATGAATAAAAGATGCATAGACGTGGTTTTTAGTATTTATAGGGTGTTTGTATTTGCACAAATGTCCGTTCTTACAAGGCTTATCAAATTTCTTCTTAAAATTGACTGGCGACGCACTCTTTATTTCACTTAATTACACAAAAAGCGGTCAAATACTTGCATTTATAAATATATTCGACTGTTTCTATAATCTTCAACCTTCTACCCAAAATTTCAAGAAAAACGAAATCAATTAGATAATCAAGACGGATTAGTTTTTTATTCCACTTCACCCACCTAACTATTATTTGTCTACACAGATATTCATATTCCATACTTCTGCGTTTATATATAATATTTATTAATTTTATAAATAATATTTAATAATTATAGATAAATAAGTGTTCCTATGAAAAATAATTTACATAATTTGCATTTATCTTCATTCTAAGCGGCTATATTTTGCTTTATACTATATAATACATAGTATACGTCTTACGTCGCTTAAAAGAAATGATCGACTGCATACCAAAAACTTTCATTTCCATCTACAATAAAACCATTTACATACCGCTGTCTGTTTCATATCTTAAATAATTTGATTCGAGTGATATTAAAATGTTTCTTATATTATGAAAGCACTTAAAATAAGTACAATAAGTACAATAACAAATACAATACAAGAACAATATTTTACCAAACAATTTTTAACAAAAACGACATAAATTTTTTTCTTTCTTTTTCTCATACTCTGACACGCATACAAACATGCAAAACTACACATGTACCACCCACTACATCCAAATGGCTTTCCATGGATTTCTTCTGAACACTCTTCATACAATCTACAAACTAAAAAATATTTCAATATTTTTTTCTTTCATAACATATTTGGGTCAATCCTTTAAAACAATACAAAATATATTTGTAACAAATTCTTCTTATTTTTGTACTCAATTCACAAAACTGCACTTTATATATTCTGACTTGAATTTTGCACTAATATTCCCTTGTGTCCCAACTGCACTTCACTTCTTTCACCACTGTTTTTGACTATTTTTCTTTTATTCTATATTAAAATTTTATATTTTCTACACTTCACTTCATGGTTATTGGTTATTTATTTAATAAACGCACTTCATTTTTTATATGTTCCTTAACCTGATTTGTTCCCTTCAACTCGTTTTCAACTCATTAACATCACAGAAAAATTCGTAGGTCCAGTTCCAGACCCTTTACTAAATTGGGTAACCGAATTGAGTAATGTGTCGGCTGAACATCGTTGGATTTTGCTGAAAACACTTAAAGCTGCTACAGTTTATCAATTTCGAGTCAGCGCCGTCAATCGTGTTGGAGAAGGTTCCCCTTCCGAGCCTAGTAATATTGTGGAGCTACCACAAGAAGGTAAGCTTTACTTTTTTTTACACTTATTCCAATGATTTTAGAGGGTCACAAATAGTGTAAAGTTTCACATACGTTATTTATCGAAGGACCAAATAATTGGAGATAGTTCGCTATTTGTGCACTCTATAATATTCTGTTTAGTAATATTAGTTTCTTTTAATTTTATTAAATGTATACATGCTTTTTTGTTGTGTTAATTTTGTAAAATTAAATAAAAATGTTTACTTAAGTTCAAACTAACTATTTTGTGTTAATACAGATTAAAAGTTATATAATAATATACTGTAAATTCCAAGACGTTGTCAAAATTTTAATAAAGCAAATTATATAAACTAGATTGACTTAGTTGAAAAGCACTTTAAGTAGATAAATAACTAATAACTTTGTGGATGGATAAGCTATTAACTATGATTACCAACGAAATTTTAAAACAGTTAAAGATATAAAGAAGAAGATATTATGTAAAATCCATCTATATATACATTTTAGTTTTCAAAAATGAAATACATCATTTTCTAAAACACATTCATCTTTCGTCTATTGAGTAAAAAAGATAACAATTAATATATAAAGAAATTAATATTTCGCCAAGAACATCACTTATTAAAAAAATATCTTGAAACGGTTTTTGTGTATTTTTTTATTCTGGCTGTACGTCCCTTAAATTTAGAAAATTTTAATGTCTTTAAACTTTATTTAAAAAAAACGATTTTGATAATTTAGAGAAGTACAGCATTTTCTAGTATGTTATATCTACTAGAAATTCAAGAAAGGTAATGTCTCCTTTAACATGCTTTTAGATAAAGTGGTAAGTTAGGGAACACAATTTCTAACTTAGGATGTAGATTTATGTTAAGTACATTTATTTTTTGTATCAAATATATATTTTTCGTATATATTTTGTATCATATATATCATATATAATTTATAAATCGGTTTTTTAAACACAATGCAGATAGTGTCAAATTAATCGATATATTACTAAAAAATATTACAGTTTTGATATAAATACAAAACTAATTGCGTTGTTTTCATATGTTAACTAATCAGACAATCAGTCAATGTAAAATCATTTATTCAATAAATTTGAATGTAAAAACATACCATAGATCAGCAATAATTTGAGTTAGATCCAGTAAATGACTGTCACGTTCATTATTCATTAATTCCATATGTTAGTTATACGAGAATAGTTTTTATACTAAACTTTAAGTATAAAATTTTGAGGGCAGCGTACATCCTAACATATCTGTTCAGTTGCTTTAAAATTTATTATGTATTATCTCTGTACCAACGCTTCTTTTAAAAGCTAATCAAATAATCTATTAAAATAATAACTTATATTAAATGTCAGTGCACTGTTTAGACCCCATTCACAAAATTTAACAATATTTCTAGAGAGCTACAAAAATTTTGTATCAGTAAACGTTTGATGTCTATAGTAATACGTAATGTATTATTTTTCCATAATTTTTATTTTTTTTTTATAATTAATTTTATTAGAACATTTTGTAAACATACATTTTGTAAAAAACATTTTACATTGAACATTTTGTAAAAACAATCAAATTAAATCACTACAATGATAATCTTTACTAATGTTATATATCCTTTTTTGTACTTCCACTTTAAACTGGCTGTAAAATATAATTGTAGAATTACCGCTTCACCGAGGTACTTTAAAATATTCACATAAGAATCCATTCAATAAAATTAGATTTTATTTCTACACTATTTTTTTTAATAGAAATTAATAATACAATTTTTCATTTACACAGCACCATCAGGGCCACCTGTTGGATTTGTAGGTTCAGCTCGATCAATGTCAGAAATTATAACGCAATGGCAACCGCCTTTGGAAGAACATCGCAACGGACAAATTCTTGGCTATATAATACGTTATCGTCTCTTTGGTTATAACAATGTACCTTGGACATATCAGAATATTACAAATGAAGCGCAACGAAACTATTTAATACAAGAACTCATCACATGGAAAGATTATATAGTACAAATCGCAGCTTATAACAATATGGGAGTGGGTGTGTACACCGAAGGAGCTAGAATAAAAACAAAAGAAGGCATACCGGAAGCACCACCTACAAATGTTAAAGTTATTGCCATAAATTCTACTTCAGTTAAAGTATCCTGGATACCACCAAATCCACAACAAATAAACGGCATAAACCAAGGATATAAAATACAAGCTTGGCGTCATGAAATGAACGATGATGACTTGGAAGAAACTGAAGCCCGAATGATCACAGTACCGCCAAGTCTAATTGATCCACTTGCCGAACAAATTGCTATTCTAAGTGGACTGGAAAAATTCACGGATTATAATATAACAGTTTTATGCTTCACAGATCCTGGTGAAGGTGTTCGTAGCTATAAAATAGCTGTTAAAACGAAAGAGGATGTGCCAGATGAAATTACCGCTTTGCATTTTGATGAAGTTTCAGACAGATCTGTTAAAGTGTTGTGGGCACCACCGAAAAATTTAAATGGAATTTTGACTGGTTATACCGTACGGTATAAAGTTAAAGATCATCCTGAAACTTTAAAATCAGTTAATTTGACTGCTGATGATACACAGTTAACAGTTACACAATTACAAGCCACTACACATTACTGGTTTGAAATAAAGGCATGGACTAAAGTTGGTGGGGGACCTGCAAAAACTGCAACAATACAGTCGGGAGTTGAGCCTGTATTGCCACATCCACCAACAAATTTGGCGCTTTCTAATATAGAGGCATTCTCGGTTGTGTTGCAATTTACGCCTGGGTTTGATGGTAACTCATCTATTACGAAATGGAAAGTGGATGCACAAACTGCGCGTAATATGACCTGGTTTACAGTCTGTGAAATATCAGATCCTGATGCAGAAACTTTAACAGTAACGGGACTAATGCCATTCACTCAATACCGTTTACGTCTGAGTGCTACAAATGTTGTGGGCTCTTCCCAGCCTTCCGAAGCTACCAAAGACTTTCAAACTATACAGGCAAGACCAATGCATCCACCATTTAATGTAACAGTGCGAGCAATGAGTGCTACACAGTTAAGAGTACGCTGGATTCCATTACAACAAACTGAATGGTTTGGAAATCCTCGTGGTTATAACATTACATATCGTCAAATTGAAAGCATAACGAAGGTATCAGCGAAATCTGTATTAATTGAAGATCATACTGCGAATTCGCATGTGCTAGAAGGTTTAGAAGAATGGACACTTTACGAGGTTTTGATGAATGCTTGTAATGATGTGGGTTTCTCGAGGTAAATTTCATTTAACATTTCAAAGTTTGAAAATTTATAATTTTTGTTTTAATTTTTGACAGAGATAGTGCAATTGCTGTCGAACGAACACGTGAAGCGGTACCTTCGTATGGTCCTTTAGAGGTGCAAGCCAATGCCACATCCTCCACAACAATTGTAGTACGCTGGGGTGAAGTGCCGAAGCAGCATCGTAATGGTCAAATTGATGGCTACAAAGTGTTTTATGCCGCTACTAACCGTGGCGGTCAAGTGCTACACAAAACCATATCAAATAATGCTTCCTACACAACTACATTGACTGAACTAAAAAAATTCGTAATCTACCACATACAAGTACTTGCATTTACTAGACTCGGTGATGGTGCTTTAAGTACTCCTCCAGTACGTGTACAAACATTTGAAGACACACCAGGTCCGCCTTCCAACGTAAGCTTTCCAGATGTATCATTTTCGACTGCTCGTATAATTTGGGATGTACCTGAAGATCCAAATGGCGAAATCTTAGCTTATCAAGTGACATATTCATTAAATGGCAGTGTTAATCTTAACTACAGTCGTGAATTTCCACCATCAGATCGCACTTTTAGAGCAACACAATTGTTGGCAGAACGGTATTATATTTTTAGTGTCACAGCTCAAACACGTCTGGGTTGGGGTAAAACCGCCGCAGTTCTTGTTTACACTACAAACAATCGCGAACGCCCACAACCACCATCTATGCCACAAATATCGCGTAGTCAAATACAAGCACATCAAATAACTTTCAGTTGGACACCCGGCCGTGATGGATTCGCCCCACTTCGCTATTACACTGTACAATTACGAGAGAATGATGGTCCTTGGACAATACTGCCAGAACGCGTCGATCCTGCATTTACTTCTTATACTGCAATTAATTTGAAACCACATACTACATATCAATTTCGCATACAAGCGACAAACGATTT